TGCTGCTCTTTAATGTGAGCCAGGTCAAGACAGGACAAAGAGCCAATGCTCCCCGCTGCCAGCTGGGATCAAGCCCCAAGCCTCTAGACAAAGGCTATGATTTCCTGGGGCTTGAAAGACTACATCAGGCACCCACATATTTAGTCAAACATTCTCTGTGTTTCTCAGGATGCTTTGGGTGAGATTTAAATTGTTAGACCAGGTACAGAAGGCTGTCCTCCCTAATGTGGAGAGTGGGAGTCTCCAATCAGTTGAAGGTCTAAAGAGAACAAAGTATCGGACCCTTCCCAAGTAAATGAACAACTCTCCTGCCTTGACATTTAGTCCAATATTTCCCCTATATAATATATATTTCTTGTAAAAGAGTCTTAATATAATTGCATCTATTCTTCGAACAAATTTCAATCTACAATAATGACTTTTTTTGCTCTTGGGCACTAACTAGAAGGACAGCTCTTACAGATAAAGTGAACACATTAAAATGAACTACCCCATGTTCCCTTGTCTTTTTTATTCCTAGCCATCATCTATGAAATAATTCTACTGCAAACCACCTCTGTCTGAGGTTCTGGTTTTCATGTGGCATTTGAGCTAAGATATTCCTGCTATATAAATATGTAAAGTGAGGTGTTGACTAGATGAATACTACTCTCTAAGGGATATTTATACTTGTCATAATTAGCAATAATAAAATAATGCTATATATGTAAAAAAAAAAAAAAGACTGCAACAAAGCTGAAGCACCAGACCCCCAAAAACATTAGATACTATCTCAATAACATAAAGCAGATAACTTTCTCTGCATTACCTCTGCATATGGCAGAGGTAAATGCAGGCCACGCACCTGGTTCAACTCACATTAATTACCTACTTCCCACAATTCTTGGTCATTCCTCCTCAAGCCACTCCTCCACTGAATAAAACTCGGTGAGGCCTCTGGGTCAGCTTCTTTGTTCAGGAAAGCCATCTTCGTGGCTGGACTTGGGGCCCCCTGACTCCCCAACAATTATAAATATGTTTTAGTGTCTTTACTTTCTCTGTGGGTTACACTGGGAGTGGCAGATTGGAATTAACTTGGCGAGATTCCAATAACATATCTTTGGGATTACAAATATTAACTTCTTGGACCAAGAGGAGAACCTGGAGGGGACTCCTACTATTCCTGCCTTTGAATTTTTTCTTTTTTATATTAATGTTTAGGTTTGGGTTAGGTTATGTAGCTTTTACTGTTTTTAATGTGAAAATATATGCTCTTATATTTATTATTCTTCTGTTCTCAACACTGCTGTGGTCTGAAATTTCACACTTCTTATTTGTTAACTCCTAAAATCCCATGAGTAGGTTTCAGACTACTGTTCTTGATCCTTCCTTTTGTTTTTTAATTCAATAAGACTTTTTAATATGTGTATATGTGACATGCATGACAATCTTTACTGCTCTCTATGTCATTGATTATATGAAAGTTATGAACATGATTCTTTTTTATTTTATGTAAAAAAATAAAAAAAGAAAGAAAAAAGTAACAAGGAACCAGGAAATAACAATTCAGCAGCTATAGGATGATGCAAAGAAAAACAATATAAGACAGATAGCTACCAATGAATCAGCAGGAGTCAGCACAAATGACATAAAAAGATTATTTGCAGAAGTAGTAGCAGAAAATTTTCCAAGCATAAGAAAAGAATATGGCATACAGTTGAATGAGTAATATAGAATTCCAATTATCTATAATTAAAATAAATCTACAGCCATAATAATCAAGATCCCAAAAAATTCAGCAAACAAAACCCCAGAATATTAAAAGCTTTGAGGGGAGGTCACTTATAATAGAAAGCCCATTAGAATCACAGCAGATTTCTCTACACAACCATCAAATCAGTAAAAGCTTGCAGCAAAATATTTCAGGTCCTGAAAAAAAAACAACATCCAGCACAGATTGATGTACTCTGCAAAACTATCAAATTTGATGGAGAGATAAGATACTTCTATGACAAAGGACAACTGAAGAAATTCATGAGCACCAAACCAAACCTAAAAAGAGTACTGAACGACATTCTAGAAAGATGCACAAACAACCACAACTTTAAGAACAACAACCAAAGGGAACCACAAAGCAGAGCAAGCAATTCAATGCATAGGAAAAGTAGGGAGCCTACAGCAAAAAAATAACGTGGCAAAGATAAGACAAGACATATCATTTATAACCATCAATGTAAATGTTCTCAATTAACCAATCAAATGATACAGACTGGCAGGGTGCATGAAGGAACAAAATCTAACAATATGCTGTACACAAGACACATATTTAACTCAAAAGAAAATTCATAGACTGAAAGTCAAAAGATGAGAAACAATACTCCATAATATAATTGTACTAGGGGACCGTAAAACCCCATTGACACAAAGAGATAGCTCAACTAAGCAAAAAAAATCAGCCAAGATATAACAGAATTAAACCAAACTTGTGAAGAAATGGACTTAGTAGGGCTTTATCAAATGTTGCACCCAAAAATGTCAGCGTACACATTGTTCTCAGCTCCACACAGGATGTTCTCCAAAATAGACTATATGCTAGCACATAAAGGATGCTTCATTAAGTGCAAAGGAATGGATATTATCTCATGCATATTATCTTACCAGAGTGCAATGAAATTGGAAATTATTGAAAAAGAAAACTGCAAAAACTCCATAAACACATGGAAACTAAATGATACCCTCCTGAACAATAAATGGGTCACAGATGAAATTAGAGAAGAAATTAAACAATATTTATAATCAAACAAAAATGCACATACAACCTAACAGAACCTATGGGATGCAAAGAAAGCTGCCTTAAGAGGGAAATTCATAGCAGTAAAAAATCACACTGGGGAAACAGAACAAGCCCAAATAAACAATCTTATGCTACACCCCAAAATCCTAGAAAAAGAAGAGCAAGTCAAGTCAAAAGTGCACAGAAGGAGAGTCTCAGCCTCGCTGCCACTGCCCAGAGACAGCTTCACTCGTCCATCTGCCTCCACCCACCTGGGACACAGAACATCCAGGGATAGATAAAAACGAGCTGGTGCAGAAGGCCAAACTGGCCGAGCAGGCTGAGCGATATGACGACATGGCAGCCTGCATGGAGTGTGTGACTGAGCCAGGCGCTGAATTATCTAATGAGGAGAGGAGCCTTCTCTCCGTTGCTCATAAAAATGTTGTAGGAGGCCGTAGGTCATCGTGGAGGGTTGCCTCAGGTATCAAGCAAAAGACGGAAGGTGCTGAGAAAAAGCTGCAGATGGCTCGAGAATATAGAGAGAAAACTGAGACTGAGCTAAGATATATCTGCAATGGTATACTGTACTGTCTCTTTTGGAAAAGTTCTTGATTGCCCATGCTTCACAAGCAGACAGAAAAGTCTTTTATTTGAAAATGAAGGGAGGCTACTACTGTTACTTGGCCGGGGTTGCTGCTGGTGATGACAAGAAAGGGATTGTGGATCAGTCACAACAAACATGGAAAAAATTGTAATCATCAACTGCTTCACTCTGCAGACCAGCAGAAATCAGTAGTACAAATATCTAATCCATCCTGCATACATAAATATATCTCTTTCTCCTCTCCCTCATTCTCCTGTCTTTTTTCTCATCCCAGTTTTTCTTTTTTTTTTTAAATTTATTTATTTATTTATGTGTGTGTGTGTGTGTGTGTGTGTGTGTGTGTGTGTGTGTGTGTGTCCAGCTCAGCCCACCAGGGGGCGGGGCTGGC